ATAAGTGGATTATTAATGTTGTAAGGGTAAGGAATGTTGAAATCTTGAACGGAAAATTTTTATCTTAGTTTGATAATTATGCCATAATTATTCAATAAAATGAGTAGTAGGAGAAGTAATGCACCTAAAGTATTTGGTGCAAAGATTAAGAGAAGTTTCTGTCTCAAGAAAGAAAAATAATAATAGTAGATTGGCATGGGTAAAACAAGCTGGAGTAGACTAGTGATATAAATGGTACTTAGACTAACTCTAAAGTATGAATATTAATTTTAAAATGATGGGGTTGATTTGGAATTGTGTTAAAAAAATTTCATTTATTTACATCTTGATCGGGTGTAAGGAAGAACGAGACCTTAACCAGAATTAAAGGAAGGATATTTTTGAGAATTTGAAGTTCTAACAAGTAAGTGAATAGCGTTCCCTTTAATTTATTTTTAATTGTATTTCTATTTTTAATAGACTTTCATTGAGATATTTCACTCTTATGAATTATATTAGTTTGAGACTTTGAAATATCGATGCTGGATAATTAAAGGATGATATATGCATTTATTTCCTCAAGGAATATATTTCAAAGATTTATGAAATTAGTTGGTTTATTAAACTCTAGAAATCCTTGATTATTTAGATAACGCAAACTTATACATTATTTATGAAAGACTATTTTCAACAAGTCTTAAATTGAAATTTAAAATGATTCATGCGAGCTTGGTATTGAAAATGCAGATTGTATTTCAGAAATAATTATTCTTCTCGCATGTTTGAAACATAATTTTTGAGAGGATTCTAAACAGAACACTGCTGCTAACGGCAGTTCCGTTAGCCTGTAGCGCGTTGTGGTTAAACACTAGTTAGTTTGGTTCGTAAGTTTTGTTCTCACGTTTGATATTCATGGGCTTTGTACCCGCGTTTGATTTCGTGGCCTGAGCCGCGTTTGGTCATTTATCCTTGTGGAATATATGTCCACGTTTATTTCATAGATTCGACTGCGTTTGGTTATTTACTCTCGTAGACTGGTGCATCCACGTTTGTTTTTGTGACATAAGCCGTGTTTGATTATTTATTCTCGTAAACTGTGTGTTCACGTTTGTAAACTATTTTGTTGAGTTCTCAAAATTTTAAATGTTGATTAATATGTGTTTTTGAAATTTACATGATTTTGGCCAGAAATTTTACCACTTTGAGTTGTATGTGAGTAAATTATTTTCTTTAAGCATGATAACACAAATTTTTTTCAATTTACTCTTATTTTACAATTATGATTATGACTTACAGGCTTATAAATTTTTTTGTGAAATTATTTTTAATTAATTAACATCATTATTAGAGTTTGTTGATTTAAATTTTAAGAATTTTACCATGGGAATGCTATTCATTGAAAAAATTATTTTGGTTTCAGATTTGTTAGTTGACACTGATCCCACAACCGACTTCTAAAGGGCAAAATAGCTACAGTGGGTGGAAATTTTTGATTGGTACTGTTACTTTTAATATAAATATATAATTTGTATGTCTTTTTAATTTAAAAGAAAGATTAGATGCTCTACATAGGTTATCGATAAACTTTATTTTTGGTTTGTATATTGGTTACTGGCTAGAAGGAGCTACGCTCCTGATTTATAGTGTTATCTATAAAAATTTCTGTTGTAAAATTTTTGGAAGATCCTAATTATAAAAAAAGTTCTGCCGAAATTTCTACAAAAACTTTGAAGTCTTCTTATGATAAGTAATATTAAAAGTGTTATAAATTCTATATAATCTGATTATTTTAAAAAAAATGAATTGAATTTTTCATGTTAAGGTTTACGGGAATGCACGATATGGTGCCGATCATCTTCTACTCTCCGGACATGACATAACTTATCTACGACTGAGATATATAAATTTATAATTAACTGAACTGATATTTAGTAGTTACAATTCATTTTTTTAAAAAAAATTATTAAGGATCTAACGGTTATTAGTTAATATGATTTCTTGAGACTTAATTATGTCAAATTTAAATTCGTTTGAAGACGTTTTACACGTAGAATTTGAATGTGCTCCCAGGCCGACACGTCTCACCCCGAAACACATGAAATGAAAGTTCAGGTGTTAGAGATCTGTAGATTTCTCCTCTGTTGTTTCTCTTGGACGGTCACGAAAGCCAAACCCACAAATAAACAAATATTGAATCCTGACCGTTCACAGTAGTCAAAGGTCAGTGTTCTTTGCTAAATGTCGCGCCCAAGGCTGCCAGCTGCCCTGTTATCCTCGATATATTCCTTTCACCATTTTTGCTAATCTTTTCTGAAATTAAATAGTATTTTTCTTATCACAAAATAATATACACTTCAAAATATTTAATATTTTATTATGAATATATATATATATATATATATTTTATCTAGCAAATTTTAAATTTAATATGTTTTTATAAAAAATTTAGGTGAGTTAAATCTTGATAACTCAATAAGTCCAGAACATATTTCAAGCACAAAAAGTGATTAAGGGCTGTTTGTTTTAGATTATTCTAAAAAAATCATTTATTTTTTGAAAAAAATTATTTTGTGAGTTTTTCTTATATTTATTTAAACTTTTAAAAATAATTAAAATTTTAAAAAAAGATTTTTGAATATTTTAATGAGCTACTTTGAATATTTTTTTAAAAATAATTTAATGCAGAAGATGAAAAAGAGTATTTTTAAAAAATGAAAAATGAGATGACATCATAAAATTTTAAAATAATATAATAATAAATTATTTTTATAAAAAAATAAAAAAATCATAAAATTTAAAAATAAAAAACTAATAATCACTTTATTATTATTATAATCAAACATAAAATAATTTTTTCTTTTTATACATTCTCTACAAAATAAATTTTTTTATAAACTCTCTAAACTTTTTAAAAATCATTTATGTTTTTAATATTAAACAAACAGGTCCTAAAACTCACAAGCTTATAAATTATTAGTCAAATCCTTATCATCTAGGTTAATTTTTGTTGTATTTTGATCTAAATTTAACTTGATATTTTAAATTTATTTTTTTATTATGAGATATTTTAAATTTAATTTGTTATATTTGACATTTTATTGATACTTAATATGTTATTTTCTACATGTATGTATGTATTAGTATAATTATAAGCTTTTTATGAGGGAAACGTGAAACACATTTTTTTTAAAAAAAAACTAAACCTTTTATTAGTAGTCAAACAAAATATACAGTGATATAGACTCCATCTGCGCACATCCATTTTTTCTAAAAAATATATTAATTTCTAATAATTAGGCAAGTTAAGATCCTGATCTTTCATGCTTATTTTGTTTTGGTTTTCAAATAGTTTAAATATTAGCAAATTTTTATTTTATTTAAAATATATACTCCATCCGTTTAAAAACATAAGACATTTTTTGAAGAATTAGATGTTAAAAAATATAAAGTATTTTTAATCTTTTGAGGTGTAATCATTATCCTTTTTTCAAAAATGCTTCTATTGATGAATGACTTTATATTTATTATAAAGTGTTTTATAGGGATAAATATAGAAAGATAGGATTAGTTAAAAAGTAGGTAACTACTTTATTGAAAGGTAAAATTTGATTAAAAATATCTTATATTTTTAAAGAGAAGGAGTATATCTAACTTTATATAATATAACATTAATAACAAGTACCAGATATTTATAAATTATGAATTGTGCAACTCCCCTGAAATTCTATACAAAACATGATTAGGCCACTACCTAGTTCAGTTACAAATGAATATAATATTCTTGAAAGATCATCTCAACATCAAAGGCTGATAAGGGTGCTGTTTCCATATAATAATATTCAGATAAGGGTGCTGTTTCCATATAATAATATTCAGATTTTAGTTTTTCTTACTACTATTATTTATTTTTATAATTTTTTATTAATTATTATTTGCTTTATTAAGAAGAAAAACGTAGAGATATGTAATGGAGAATTTAAAATGAACGAAAGTAATTTAACATTATATATATATGTGTGTGTGTGTGAATAATTTAATCAAATAAGTTATAATGTTATATTATTTTAATCAATTAAAATTTATTTAATTCTTGTACATCAGAGCGGAAAAAAAAAAAAAAACCTAACAAACTTTTAAGTTTCGAACAAAATTATAATATTTTTTTAAATATTTGAATTGTCATGTAATTTTTAAAAAATATTAACTGTCAGTTATTCTAATGGCAACACCACTTTTTTTTTTTTAAAAAAAAAAGTCTTGGATTCGAACTCAATGTTAAACGTACTTGTGTGGATATGTCTGTTTCCCTTTCCTATGAAAAAAATGTTAGGCTAAGGGTGAAATTTTAAAATTTTTTAAAAATGTAATTTTAAAAATAATTTAAATAATATTTTTTAGCGTACATTTTTGTAGTCCTAAAATCCTTGAAAAAATCATTTATGAGTAGTCGTTCTTTTCTCCCCTTTGAAGTTATGGGTCTATAGCTCTACCCAATTTCTAATGAGTCTAGAGTCTAGCTTGACCGTAACTTAATTCCATTTACCAACAAACTTTGATTTAGAATTGGTCGACAAGAATTCAACTCATAATTTAGTCAAATTCATGTTTTGGATGTGAATATCTAGTGAGTGTTCTTTAAATACTTTTGTAAGAAACTAATGCAATTTAAATTTGAAGGCTTACCTTAGTGAGAACCCAATCCAGCTAACTTAATTGATATATATATATATATATATATAATTCCATTTTTGGTTTTATTTATTTATTAAAAAAAAACTAGAAGGAGAGAGTCAAGAGATGATGGTGATGTACCTGTCCCAAAGTGCAAAGCGTCAAACAGAGCTTGTAACGCACTAGTACCCATCTGCTGCGCGTAAGCCATGCATCCATTCTCCACCTCTTCTCCTTCCTTCCGTGGCCTTCCCTCCTTCCTCCATCTGTTCTCTCCTCCTCCTTTTTATACTCTCTCTCCCTTTCTCACTCCCTCAGTACTCCCCTCACTATCTCCTCCTCCTTCCACCATGAAATCCCAGGTCCAGGACAGGTTCCGTGACTTCTACCACACCTGGTTCTGCAAGCTCGAAGAAATCCTCCACCAGCTTCTTCAAGTTTCCCAAATGGTGGCCTCTGCCAACGACCAACACGTCGACGTTCAGCATTTGGTCAACTCTGTGACATCCCACATCAAGCAGTATTACACCGTCAAATGGGCTGAGGCTCGTGAAGATGTGCTTCCCTTCTTCGCTCCCACGTGGCTCACTCCTCTCGAGAATGCCTGCTCTTGGATCACCGGATGGAAGCCGTCCATGGTCTTCCGGTTGCTTCGGAGTCTCGCCTCCACGACGGCGTCGTTTGGCATGAGTGACGAGCAGGCTAGGAAGATAGAGGAGCTGAGGATGAGGATGAGGATGGAGGAGGAGAAGGTGGAAAGAGAGATGGAGAGGCTGCAGGTGGCCATGGCTGACCACAAGATAGTGGAGCTCGTCAAGCTCTCGAGCCGGGTGACGGCGGAGGGAGGCGGTGACGGCGGAGGGGTGGCGGCGAAGGAGGTGGAAGTGGGGTTGAAGGGAGTGTTGGACGGGTTGGAGAGGATGATGAAGGGGGCAGATTGCGTGAGGCTGAAGACACTGAAAGGAGTGCTGGATGTGCTGACGCCATTGCAGGGTGTGGAGTTCTTGGCTTCAGTTCTTGCTATGCAGCTTCGTTTGAGGCAATGGGGGAAGAAGGAGATCGACAGACATGCTTCATGTCCCCCAGATTGAATGAGCCACGACAAGTTATTAATTGAGTGCGGATAAAAAACTGCGTGAACTTGTAGGCTGTTTTTTTTTTAATGTTTTATTTAAACTTCTTGTGTTTCAAGAGAGAAAAATCTCAAAAAGAAAAAAATATTTATGACATTTTAGTTTAGAAAAATTACATGAGTCCCAAATAAAAAAACTTATTTATATATAAGTCTCATGAATTTGTGAAAATATCTCTAATCTCTTGATTGTGATTAATTTAGGATAAAGGTGAAAACTTAATTAGCCACGAATTATTTTTCTAGCACCACTAAATATCAAATACTACGAGTTGAAACGAAAAAGATCATCAACTATAAGAAACGTAGTATCCACAACCTTTCGTCCATTTTGTCTAGTGTTCATTGATTAGGTTTGTGGGACCTATGAATTTTCACGTTGACTCGCTTTTTACCAACCTTTCAGCGCATCAAACCAGTCTCTTTTCTTCACCATCTTTGTTGTCTCCCATGGCCAAATGAAAAGCACAGTGGAGATCTAGTTGAGAGAGGAAAAAAGAGGGTGAATGAAGCTAAGAAGTGGGATAAGAAAAATCAACCCATCATCAATCAAGTGAACGAAACAATAAATTGAACAAAAAGGTAAGAGTTTGATGGAAGGCAAGAAGCACAAGTGCCGACATTAGAGAACATAAACACAGGAGCACCAATTTTTTTGGAACTGGTGCTTATTCCTAACCTGGTTAAGAAAGGTTGAACCAACGATCTCTACTTTCTTAGTCTAATGAACACAGACCAAGTTTCATCAAATGGCCCAAAAAATGCATTTTTATGGAAAAGAGAGGGATTATACCCTTTCTTTATTTTAATGAAGGGGAATACAGTCACTTATTACAGAAATTATTAGCCTTTTTGAAAATGAGCTTCTAGTTACAGATTAAATAAAAGAAGCAGCAGATGGAGGAGGAGCTCCTACTCTACGAACCTGAAGTCGAAGAGTAACAAGCGACAGCCCTTGCTATCGTGATAGCAAGTTCAAGGTTTCTCACTGCTTTTGTTTCATCTGTGAGGTGTTGTCCTGGATCATGCTTTCGAATTGCCTCCATTTTGTGTTCAATATTGTGGAAATATGGATGAAAAATATTTGAGGAAAAGAGGAGACTGGTTTGATGTGCTAAAAGGTCAGGGAGGAGTGAGTTAGTGTGAAAATTTGTGGGTCCCACAGTCATGATAAATGGACGTATAAAGAAAATGGATCAAAGGTTGTGGATGCTATGTTTTCTATAGTTGATGATTCCTTTTGCATCACCCATAGCACAGGATACTTAGTAGTCTTTAAAAAATAGTTTATAGTTGAATTATTTACACATGAATCCATTAACTTATGAGGTAAAATTATACAAATACCCTTGAGCACACACTTCTTTGACCAGCGTTGACCGACAATTGGAAGTTGTTGACCAGTGGCCAGCATCAATTAACTGATCACTAGTGGCGCCGACTGGCGAAAATAATTTTTTTTGAAGAAAATATTTTTATTGGATTCTTTATATTTTAATATTTATTAGTTAAATGTTGTAGATTCATGAGTTAAATTTTGTAGATTTACAAGTTAAAAATCTTAAGTTCATAAATAATTTTTTTAAAAAAAATAATATTTTAATATTAACATGTCAATATCCTAAATTTACAAGTTACCAATATGGTAGATTTAAATGTAAATCTACATACTTTTTACATTGATTCTTCAAATCTTATAAATTGATTTACAAGTCTTTTTACATTTACAAGACATCTATTTAAATTTAGAAAAAATAATAATAAAATTCTTTTAAATTATATAAATGATAATTTAGTCCCTCGAAATGTTATAATACAAATGAAGTTTCTAGGAGCTTTTCTATCATTAAAAAATTAATATAAATGATCAAATTGTCTTTAGTTTAGGATTTCAAATATGAACTTGCGAATTGCTATTACATTTTTGCGATTTTAAAAAGAAAAGTTATAAATTTTGGAATAAAACTTCTAAATAATAATTGATATTTGCAACACTTGAGGAATATCAGAATTTTAAATATAAACTTATGAATTGTTGTTGAATTCTTACAATTTTAAGAAGAAAAATTGTGAATCTTGAAATAAAACTTGTGAATGACAATTGATATTTGAACTAAGGACTATTTAGTCATTTATATTAATTTCTTAATGATAGAAAAGTTTCTAAAAACTTTATTGGTATTATGACATTTTAAAGGACCAAATTATCATTTACATAATTTGAAGGGATTTTGTTATCATTTTTCCTTAAATTTATAAGCCAACATTGAAAATTAAAAAGTTAATACGGTAGAAAATGCTTAGTCTATTTGTAGATTTAATAGAGTGATTTGAAAATTGGGTTAAGGTTCAATTTTATCCTTGTACTTATTTTTTAAGAGCGTTGAGCACCTTATACTTTTAATTGGAGCAATTTTATCCCTGAACTATTTTTTGGAGAAGCAAAAAGCTCCTTTTATTAATCAACTGTTTTTTTTTTGTTTTTTACTGACGTGGCATGTGTGTGGGACCCATGCACAGTGACATGTCTTTTGATGTTAATTTGCCCTTAAACTCTTTTTTAAAAGTACTAAGCACTTGAAAATCTTTTTCTTGAAGCACTGGGCACCTTGAAATCTTGTTAAAATAAAATTAATTAAATATTATTAAAATATTAAGTATTTTAATATTTAATAATTTAAATATTATTATTTAAAACATTACACCACCTAATTTAATATTTTTTATATTTAAATATTATTTTTGCTAGCATTTTATAAATTTATAGGTAACTTTTTATTTTTTATATATCGATATTCAATTTTACCTCTGATACAATATCCAAATTATTATGCTTTTTTGTGTGTCAAAACTTACTTTTATATATATATATATATATATATATTTATACCAAAATTTTTGGAAGGTGGCTGAGCTCGCCCAAGATCTAAAGGGTAGGGAGCAATCTCCATTCCTCCTAAGTGATATCAATGTTGGGCAGGGCAAGCCATCAATTACCCTCAGACGTTTTACCTAGGCACCTCGAAATTAGGATGCCTCCCCCAACGCCTAGGGCAACTCCATAATCGAACCTCCTCCATGATGTGAGAGAGTCCAAGGCCTTCACCAATTGAACTCAAGGATGAGGGGTATTTATTTATATTTTTAATATTGATTAAGTTTTTGAATTTTTTTGATCAATTAATAATCTTCCTTCAAAATATTACATTATCAAAATTTAATACTCTATACTTTGCAATGTTAATAGTAAAATCATAAATATGACAAATCTAGAACTAACCATATGACAATAAAAATATTTATTTAAAAGATATTATTTATTTTATTAATATGTTACAAAAAAAGTTACGTAACAAGAGAAAAATGAAGAGATGAGAAGAAAAAATTTTCTTCATTAACTTGGAGGTTCATTTGCTTCATTTTTAATACAAAATTAAAAAATATTAAAATATTAAATTGGGCGGTATAATGTTTTAAATAGTAATATTTAAATTATTAAATACTAAAATACTTAATATTTTAACAAAATTTATTTAATTTTTTTAACAAAACTTCAGGGTGTTTAACGCTCTAAGATAAAGACTTTAGGGTGCTTAAAGCTACTAAAAAAAAAGATCAAGGGCAAATTAATACTAAAGGATATGCCATGTTTTACATGTCACTGTGCATGAGTTCCACGCACATGCTATGTCAATAAAAATTACCTCACTTGAGAGTATAGGGTGCCTAGTACTCCTAAAAAGTAAGTATAGTGGCCAAATTGAACCTTAACCCTTGAAAATTTTGTAAATCAATATGTAAAATTTGAAGGATCAATGCCAAAAATATGTAAATTCATCTGTAAATTTATGAGGTTGATTTGTAAATCCAAGGAGATTGAATTATGAATATCAAAATTTCAATTTTTTAAAATATTTAATTTTAATTTTAAGACTTACAAATTTACGAAATTATTTAAGTTTCAAATATTAAAATATTAATATTATATCGTAAGAGATTAATTTGTAAAACTTAGCCTCTAAGCACAAGGTTCTTGTATCGGTGCAACATGTTTGTAAGAATTAATGGTATTTTTATCTTTTAACTATTGGCTCATAAGCATTTGATGTTCTAAACTTACGTGTAATATATTTTTTCATTTCAATATTTGAAAGCGAAGCATTTAGTAACTGATAGTTAAAAAAAATTATTTTGACTATTAGTTAGTAACAAAGAAAATTACAAAAAATGACTTAATGATTATAGAAAAAGATCCAAAAAATTATAAATAAGTATTCTATAAAAATATTAGTACCTCCTAAAATTACAAGTAAATATTAAAAGGCAAATGTTATTTTTTTTACAGGAAGATAAATATTATTTCTTGTCCATGTTAAAGACCACAATACTATTCAGACCAATAAATTTGATTGGTTATCAAGTGATTATCTATCAGAAAGAGGAAAGAAAAAGAGAGAGAAGAGAGAAATGAGTAGGAGAGAAAAATTATATAACTTTTATTCAAATGTTGAAACTGAATATAATCGAAGAATTCTATAATTATTTATAAAGTCTTAAAAATAATAAAAATAATAATAAATTTAAATTTAAATCTAATTATAATATAAAAGATGAAGATAAGGTATCTAGTTTGACTAAATATTTTATTTTATTTAAAATAATACTTAAAGATAAAATAACAATCTTTAGATACTAAATTAAATTTTAATAAATCCTAAATCAAATCAAATATAATTCTCATCACCATTATTAGTAAAAATAATGGTAATAAGTAATTAAAAATACTATATTTATTTTAATAATATTTTACTAGAATATTAATACTTCAATATATAATAGTATAAATAATAATAATATTATTATTTAATATCTTAGTGGTGATGCAATTTTCTCACACTTTGCTACCTATAAAAAATTTTAGGATTTTGGGCATTTTGCCCCTCAATTATTCACATACTT